ATGATTGCACGATTTAGTACCATCTGGGGAAGGCAAATGTTGTTGCTGATGCCCTAAGACGCAAGGTGAAGGGTGACTTGACGTACGTTGTTACTCAGCAGAGCCAGTTGATTAAGGAGTTCGCCCGGATGCAGATTCAGGTGGTTGATGCACTTCCTACAGCTATTTCGAGGAGTATCAGTTCCATGCAGGTTCGGCTGACGCTGAAGGAGAGAATCCGACGAGGGCAGGCTTCAAATGAGTTTATTCAGGCGATTGATACCAAAGTTCGAGCCGGAGGCGTTGAGGGATTTCACCGAGGCACATATTGAGCCTTGGAATTTCGCGGCAGGATTGTGGTGCCAAAAGTCGAGACGTTGAGAAAGGAGATCTTGACAGAGGCTCATACAGCACCATATCTAGCCCATCCTGGAAGTACAAAGATGTGTCATGACCTGAAAAGGACGTTTTGGTGGAGAGGTTTGAAGAAAGACGTAGCCGATTTTGTCAGAAATGGTTTAACCTGTCAGCAAGTCAAAGCCGAGCACCAGAGTCCTATAGGCCTTCTACGACCACTACCGATTCCGCGGTGGAAGTGGGAGGAGGTTTTGATGGATTTCGTCACAGGGTTGCCGAGGTCGTCTGAACATCACGAGGCACTTTACGGTCGTAAGTGTTGTTCCCCTCTTTATTGGGACGACATTGGCGAGCGTCGAGTACTCGGTCCGAAATTGATCGAGGAGACAGCGGAGCAGGTCGAGTTGATCCGTCAGAGACTTAAGACAGCTCACAGTCGAATGAAATCAACTGCCGATCATCATCGACGAGATATACAGTTCGAGGTCGGCGAGCGAGATTTTCTCAGAGTTAGTCCATTTCGCGGAGTTATTCGTTTCGGAAAGAGAGGGAAGCTGCACCCTCGGTTCATTAGCACGTTCGAAGTACTCGAGTGAGTGGGCGATGTTACGTATCGGTTAGCCTTACCTCCCGAGTTATCCAGTGTTCATAATGTTCTTCATGTATCCAGGTTACATAAGTACGTGTGCGACCCCGATCATGTCCTTCCTCATACTGATATTCAGATTCATCCAGACTTATCTTACGAGGAGCGACCGGTAGCCGTGTTGGACCAACAGGTTCGACGACTCCGAAAGCGTGATGTTCCCCTCGTTCGTATTCAGTGGGATCGCCACGGAGCCACTTGGGAGCAGGAGGCTGATATTCGCGCTCGTTTTCCTGATTTTCAGTTTTGATGTATATATCTTTTCATGTTTCATGTATATATGTTCTGTTTTGTATTTCCGAGGACGAAAATATTTTAAGGGGGGTAGATTGTAATTCAGTTAAGAATGTTCAAATTAATTTCCGAATATCAAGTCACGTTCGGAATAATTTTCCGATAATTAGTTCATGTCTAATCGCTCGATAATTAATTTTACCGAGCTTAAGTTTATTGATCATGTACTAAATGTGCTTAGGTTAAGCCTAATTAAGGCTTGCACATACGCACCATCATTCATGCCATTAGTACGCCCATTAGCATGCCATTAGCACGCCTAAGCCGTGTTTAGGCCAACTAATGGCCGAGAACCAAAATGCTCCCATTCTTCACGTGAAATGTCATCATTTCTTGTACACATGGAAGCTTGAGGGGAGCTGAGAGTATGACTAAGCATTGAGGGTGATGAGTAAGCATGAAGAATGCCACTATCGCCCCTTAGACGCGCGACACATGGCGCACGGCCATTGGCCGAAGCTTTCTTTCCATTTTCACCACGATTTACCTTCTATATAATCAGAGATTGAGTGGGGAAAAATATCTTATTTACTAATCTATACACTCAGCAAACACTAAGCCTAATTAGCCCTAATCACATGCACATAAACACGCACGCACGGACAAGGAGGATCACGCACCAACTTGGGAGATCATCTGAAATCTTGAGAAGGTAACCTCATTCTCAACATCTCTTCATGTTAATGAATTCTTATGGAGGTTGAAATGTTCAGCTCATGTTAGAAAATTTATAAGAATGCCAAGTTATGTTCGGTTTAAGCCATTTTAGGTCATAACCGAGTAAAGTTCAATTCTATCCGGCAACTCACGAGCACTTCATGTTTATTTGATCATCTTAGATCATTTTATACTCAGTTACTTCATGTTGGTCGAGGCAAGTATTTTTTTTGTTCATGAATTGGCTCAAACCCATCGGCAGCGCACGTCGCGCATGCCCATGGGTTGTTATATGTCATGTCGAGTTATCTTTTGTTATGATCAAGTTTGTCCATGAAATTCATGTCCCAACAGCTTTAAAATGGTGTATTAAGGTCAGACTTTTAATATTGTTCGGAGAAATTTCACGTTTAGTCGAGATATAAGCCTAAAGCCAAATCCGTGTGCATGGTGTGCACACCTCGACATAAGTCAAGTCCTTCGAACGAAACTCAGTAAGTTTAAGAAAGGTCAGCATGTATGATCATGTCATGTTAAATTGAGTTAAATTATGTTGTTATTGCCGGAGAAAGACGTCGGACGGCCGACGAGGGTCAGTCGTACTCGCGCTTTCCGCACATAGCGGCCGCAGCGTGCCGGCGGGTGCGCAAGTGATGCGCGGTATAGCGCCACGTAGGGCCAGTACCCACAACAGGTAGCTGTTGGTGATGTGCGTGCGCACGCCAACACCCAGTCATGCACGCCAGCGTGCAATATCATGCGTCAGTGGCCTGCGCAGCGCCAGTCGTGTCCAGCTAGTGTTTGTGTAACACCCCACTTTGATTTTAAAGAAATTCCAGACTTTCCAAAAATTAGTATAAAATTTTCGAACTCATTTTTTAAATCATGGGCGTTATACATCATTAAACATCAACCAAATCGTATCTGGTTGTTCACATGGTTTTCATTAACCTTTTAAAATTCAACTCCACACATAGCATGCATAATCGAAGACATATGATAATCCATATATAACTCTCATACGAAATATCAAACAAAGGGTTCAAGTCCCGACACGGGCTATTTTTGAAAACAGTTCAACAAGTTTCAAAGACCACACTTTATTCATAAAGGAAGCGAAAACATAATCATAATAATCATGACCAACCCACTCGTCTTTTCCCCGTCATCCGGCACCTGCTTAACCTGCATCCGTGAAGAGCAGGTGGGAGTGAGCACAAGATGAAAATAGTGCTCACTACTATGCACATAATTAACATATGATGAAATGGTATGGTCACAGCATGAATATAAGATAATCACATCATGTCTCATCTCCTATCAAATCACAACAACCACATTACTCCTGTGCACATCTATCGCTAGCCGCAGAACGGGGATTCATTACCCGAAGGCGGGAGTACATGCCACGCTACGGACACAGCCTTCCATATGGGCTTACGTACCTCACAAGGGCACGGCCATATCAGGACTTAAGGAGACTTGCCTCGCAAGGGCAACCGTATTACATCGACGGGGACAACCGTACCGATGGTCGTAACAACTCACATCGATAGGTTACATATTTCATATAAATACATAGATCATACCCATAAGAAATAAACATTCATCATTCATGGCATAGACAATTTTAGATTAGAACCCACCTGGTAGAGCAAAGGAATATGGCACACAATGGGAGTAGGCAACGAGCACGGCTCGTCAGACACCTACAATAATATAATACTAAGATCAACACCTACTTGACCTTAGAGAACAATCACAAGCATACAT